AACATGTCTCAAATTAGGACTTCTTGCTCCCTCAATGATATCCCAACACTTGCATTAGTTTATACACATCTTTTGTCAATGATCATTTTCATTGGTTGGTGGAAATGATTGTCGTCATTAATGTCTTGCTCATAGTTACCAGAATTTACTAAATCACTGACGACCCATGATTTGGGTACATCGATTTCAAACAGGGTGGGTTCCCGATTTAGATCACTAAAATGTACGACTCCAAATTGTAATACGAACCCGAAATTGATTCGCTTTGGAACATATAACACATGTATAAAACACATATTAATTGACTACATATATATAGATTTCTAATTATATATTGTTTAGATAATAAAAATCGAGCACAAATCTAAGTTAAATGGTATTTGACTTGGTGTTTATGAATTTTCTATGATATATAATGTTGTATAGTAATGAAAACTATCTATATTAGAGTTTTAAAATGAATTATGGCCCAAACTAAGTCTTCCTTCATCGTAATGCGTACCTAAGGAAGTGTCATACTCGTACCCATATTACATATTGGTATTACTTTTTTCCTTTTTGTTATGAGTTAATTTTTAAAAGCTTCATAATTTTCCGAAACTGTTTATTGTGGACACTTCAAAACGAATCAAGTACCTCCTTTATCATAGAAGGCCAGTTGTCACTAACAGAATCAAAGAGCGAATATTGCTCACCCAAGTACTTTATTTGCGGCAGTTAGGTATTGCTCCTCTCTCCTGTCAGTTATTTTGACCCGATTATTGTGTCATGTGACATTAGATAAGGCAAAGAGTAGTTTTCTATAATGCTTGGGTTGTGCTAAGGAAAAAGGTACTCACAAATCAGACCCTATGTGTTTCCTCTATAAAGAGTAAATGCACCCATTTTTTCATCTTAAAGCTTCCTAGAGTGTGATGATTTGAAGGAGAATGGATGCTCAATTAGATGCCCCAACTGCCAGTGTGAAGGAGATGGTCGATTTTGTGGACATTCTTCATCCAGGAAGCATGCACACTTTGCCGGAGGTCAACGGGGTAGTGTCGGACATTCTATAGTTGTCCTAAACAATGCACAAGGATTTTTTGAAACTGGATACGACTCGAATACGTGGGGGATATAGGGGGATACAGGGAATAAGGGGCTAAAAAAGAAAAGAAAAGAAAAGAAAAGAAAAGGAAAGATCGTTGACAAAACAAAGAGTATAGAAGAAGAGAGAAAGAGAGATGTTAGGCAAAGAAAAGGTGAAGAGACATACCTTCTTCAACGATCAGCTTGCAATCTGCCTTCTTCCTTCTTTCCTTCTTCTTGCTGAGATCGTTGCATTCTTCCTGAGTCGGTGCTCTAGCTGCATCTGGAGTCAGTGCCTTTTGCCTTCTTTTCTTTTTCTTTTTCCTCTTTGTTGGTGCCCTAGATGCATCCTGAGTCAATGTCTTCTGCCTTCTTTTCTATTTCTTTTTCTTCTCTCTCTTTCTCTCTCGACCGAACATAGAAACATATTCTTTTATTAATATTTTCTCTTATTTTTTGGTATAATTTATTTATTAATTGTCAAATAAATTAACCCACCGCCTAACTTCTGTGTTCGCCTATAGTCCAATTTGGTGTTAGCCCACTATCCAATTCTAAAGTACTAGTCCATTGCTCAATTTAATATTACTCTACTCAATGATTTCTAGGCCTTATTATTAATGTTATTTATATAAAAAATATGCAATATTATTTTAATTAAGCCATATCCTTGTCGTACCCGTGTCTTATATTTTTAAATTTTGTCGTATCCGTGTGTCCGTATCATATCGGATATGACACCCATATCCATATCTGTGCTTTCTAGTTTTTCGTCCACTTCTTTTTGGCATAGATATTGTAGTAATGAAGTTATATATCAAATATAATATGTGGCAGAGACACTTCATTCTCTGCCCTCGTGTTACACACAAAAAGTTTTTGCAACTTTGTGGATAGAGTGAGGCCCTTTCTCTGGTGTGCTAGGTGTCGACGATCAACTTTTAACTTTTTTCCTGTTTTAACTGGAAACTCTATTTTTAACTTGAAACTCGATTTTTTTTCCTCTTTTCGGAATGTATGGATCATGTTGTTGCAAAATATTGGGTCTATTTGGATTGTATCTTAAAAAGATGTTTCTCGTTTTGTGATACAAAAAATTAGTGAAAATATGTTTGGACAGAAATTTTCGGGAACAATTTTGAAAAAAAATGGAGAACAAAAGACTGATTTTTGGGAATAGCCAAAAGATGTTTTGGAGACAAGAATGAAAAATTAGAAAACACGGAGAACAACTGACCTTTAATGAGGTCTCTCCTTCTAACCTTTTTAGTAGCAAAATAAGTCCTTGTATAAAAGTTTTTTTTTGCCTCTCTCTCTCTCCCAGACTCTCACTCTTCCCGACTTTCTCTCTCTTCACTTTGGCTCTCAGACGGAACGATCACACACAAACACACAGCATCTTCTCTGGCGAAAGGGTCTTCTGCGGTCCTAGTCTCAGATGACTGTGAGCTCTCCAACAAAACCAAAGCTCTTGATTTTTTTCTGACGACTGGATCTTGATTTTTTCCACATGATGTACTTCGGATCAACTTCAGATATGTTTTTTCTCGACGATTGCTTCACTTCTACTTCAGATCTGCTTTAGATCTGTAGTGGACATGAAGGATTAGAGGTGGTGCGAGGGAAACTGATGTCGAATCTGGCTGAAACTGATCTCAGATGTTGCTGAAATTTTCTTTTTTTTTTTTGCCATTTTTTTTTGTATTTTATCAAGTTTAATATATTGAAAATGTTTGATATGAAACACTCGATCCAAACAAGTTCTATTGTTTTATGTTCCGTAGAATTATTTTTGAAATCATATAATCAAACAAGTTTTCCGATATAAAAATACTAAAACACACTTTCTAAAACTATTCTCAAAAACATGTTTTTGGATATTGTTTTCGGAGGCGCAATCCAAACACGCCCATTATTTTCCTTCTTTCCCCAGTCACCAATTGCTTAAAAGTTAAAACTTAAAAATACTGCATTTTGGGATACTTCCTCAATCTTCAAGTTGTTTGTATTCAGTCATGTCATCTTAGTGATACATTCTCCTTTGTTTTGTTTCTCTTCTTTGTTAATTCCTCTTCTGCTTACAATGTTTATATGTCATTTGCCCGAGAGTCTACTGAAATTTATTTATCTGGGCCTCTGCAGGGAATGAAAAAGCACAAACTCCTTAGGGAAGATATTCTTCCAGCAATGGCTACTAACAGAAAAGTTCAGCGGTTGCTCAATGAGTTTATGGATCTCCTCTCTGAATATGAAATAACAGAAACAAATCAAGAACAAAATCAGCTTACACCTGCAATAGCAACGGTGCCAGAACCAGGTCAAATGGACTCCACCATTCGTATGACTGAACAAATGAATTTGGCACCACCAGCAACAAATCTAACAGACTGCAATCTGCCAGCAACAGATGAAATTCCATCTGCGATGCCAACCATAGATCAAATGGATTGTACCACACGAGCAACTGATCCAGTGGGTTCTGCCTTGCAAACAACAGATCAAACACAATACAACCCGCTAATCACAGATCAAGTGAATTTGGAACCAACAGATAAACTGAATCTGGTGCCACCTGCAAAGGAGGCAGGTTCTTGAATTTTGCATCTTTTTATGTTAAGAGGTGATAATTGGATATAGCAAGTACTAACCCTGTTGATCCATCGCTCAGTGCTCGGCTTCCATCCTGTAAAGAATTCCTAGCCCCAAGTGCTGCAGCAAAACATCTCACTTTTGAAGATTTATTTTTGTATTTCTCTGGCACATCAATTTGAAGCAGTTTCAGGGTATGTGACAAAACATTCTAATTTTCTTTTCCAATCAGTAAAAAATTTTAATTTCTTTCCGCCATTTATAGTTCACTGTAATCAAGTTGTCAGTTTAGATTGTGTAAATTAGATTGCCTTTTTCCGATAGGGTTGTTAAGATATTTCTTATATGGGTATTTTTGTTTTTATGAATCAATTTGAATCATAATTCACTTTGCATTGGGGACTTGCTTGGAAAGCTTAATTGATTTTGAATTCTCACCTGTGTAATTATATGAGACCTGATTAACTAATTGAAAAATGAAAGATGAGGATAGCGTATCTGTATCATTGAAACAATTTGGTGGTGCTGTGACTTTTTTTTCAAGATCTCTCTTGTGGAATGGTGCTAAATAGGGATAGGCTTCCTCAAATATGGGAAAATGTCTAAAAAAGACACTAGACTATCTACACGTTTTCTTGTGCTCCCATACTTGGTCCATGATGTTCCCAAACTATGCTGTCTACCATTTCTTTAATTACGCAAGTGCAGACCCTCCTATGACAAGGGCTTGCTTCCCCAGGGTTAGAATTTTGTTTTCTGATGGAACAGGAAGCTCAATCCTGGACTGTCCAACTAGCCAAACATGGGTCTCTGGTGTAGTTGAAATCGTATATTGATGCAGGATCTACTTGAATACAATGAGTTCTATTTGATGATAGGTGATGATCTAGCATTGTGGGAATTAGTTCTAGGGTAGCTTGGGATCCCGGATTTACAAGGTCTTGATATCTATGTTAGTGTCTAGTTGAAATGGAAATTCAAAGTGACAAAGTGTGAAATCGTTCAGCAATCAAATGTTAAACCATTATGATTCCATATATGCAAATGGAACCAAATCCATCTATCTGATTGGAGACAGCTTGAAGAATTTGTGAGGTTCTTAGATAGTTGAAACTTGAAACTAAACACTGCAGACTAATTGGTATTATGTAGGGAGCAAAAAAAATTGATTAGGCATAGCAGTCTGCTAAACTGAATTGGAGTTACCTAGTTCACTCTGGTGTCCAAATTTGACAAAAGCTATCCATATTTAAGACGTTGCTCAATTACACACATATACAGTTTTTAGTGGAAACTTGATGTTTTGAGATCCTAAATCACTAGTTCACATTAGAGAGCAACCAAGAGAGATTAAAAAAGCTTTAGAATGCATTTTACATCATGTTTTCATCATCTAAAGTCCCATAAGCTCAAGTATTTTGAAGAATAAAATTGTCAATGTGTAGCCATTCTTTTATTGAAGAGTTATTACTTCCCTTTGCGTATTTGGACACACATGGACCTCTACTCACACAGGCGCTTGACTCAAGGTTAGGTTATAACTCCTTGTGTGAATTGCTTGTGGGAAGGCTTGATTTAAAGTGAACTTATATTTCATTATTTGTGTTATAGTGGCTTCAAATTTTTGGGTAAGCTTTAAGAAAAACCTTTTTTGTTTCTTGTTTGTAGGTTTGTTTAAGGGAAAACGTCACCAGCCAGATTCATTAGGTGGGTTGTCAAGCTAGTCCCATGTTTCCTGGTTGAGTGCCGTCTTGCAAGAGCTCTCTAGGTAGATTAAAAAGATACTCTAGGAATACTTGTACAAATCCCAGATAAGAGTATTTCTAGGTTGACTAGTTGTTTGACCATTTGGAACCATATGGTTGTTGGGTTAGCCTAGAAAACCATTGCTTGTGGATTGAAGCTCAAGTAAGGTGGTTTGAAAACTTGATGTAGGCCGAGGTCAGCCAAACTATTATATGTCGTATGTTTATAGGATAGGAGGTGTGGTATTTTCTTCAATATTTTCTTGCATGCTTTACTTCTTATTCAAATACGAAGTACATTGGATCGCATGCACATGCAGCATATGAATTATTCTGATCGGTGAAATTGGTGAATTGTTGATAGATCAAAGCATGATTGAAATATTGACTGCTCAATTAGATTGATGTTATTACATATGAATTCACTTCTTAGAGAGAGATAAGAATCAGTAGATTCTGACTTGGTGGATGTATTAATAAAATTGAAACACAAAACCAAAAATTAAAATGGGGGTGTTCTGCAATAGAATTAGTCAACTAGCCTTTGAGCCAGTCGACCAAAGTTATGCATAATTTCTCTTCTGCACTCGACTTTGACAAATTGAATTAAGAGGTGTAGAAATTGGCATAAAGAAATATGATAACTTGGTTAATTCTTCTTATTTAACATGAAGCTCAAGTTTATATAGCTTATCAGACTTTTCAGGATGGTACAAATGGTAAGTTTGGTATTGAACTTGCCAATATGGGATTTCATGTTGTTAATCTCATCAATCATGAGACTATTGAGAATGCCAGATACCTAATTCACAATCTTAATTGAATACCCATGATTGTGGTTGTTTATTGCATTTTTGTTTGAACACATGATGTACATATATCATTGACCTATAAGTTTTGGTATATAGTTCATGTAATATATTATCTAGAGAGCAATACCAATGTTGTGTTTTGGATTTTGTATGATATGAATGTTAGAATCGAACCACGTTATATCATTGTGTTTGTTTTATTTTGTCATTTCCTTTAAGATAAGATGTTTTAGAAGTTCTCTTGCACTGAGTTTTACTTGTTTTACAGTTAATAAAGCTTGAAGTAAGTCATCAATATATGTTAGTGAATCTAACTACCATAATTGGACCCAGTGGCTTAAATTTGTTAGTCCTTCGTCTAATATTCTTTATTTCGTTTTGCAACATCTTGTCTTGTTCGCTAATGAATAGACTTGTCAATAGATTAGATTTTGATCTGAATTTGGATAAATCAATTGGATATAATTTTTGAAAATTTAGTTTAATTGAGTTATTTGGATTGTTTTTTTTTTTTTACCGATAAAGATATGAATGGTGAAATGAGTCATGTTGTGTATTCGGATTGAAGTTTTTAAATTAAATTCAAATTTTCGGGGCCTGCATCGGATGATCCTCAGGCATATGACTGACTTTGTAAAAGCAGCAACTACCAGATGGCTTGCTTCCATGGCAAATACTCAAATGCATTGGCCAAGTTACGTTGGCATTAGATTTTCAGAACTAGACGTCAAGCAAAGTCTCCGTCATCTTAGAAAGTGGGGTGGGTGGTTTGGTTCGAGCCTTTCTTGATTGAGTAGTTGGATGTGGTTTAAAAGAATATATTGAGGTCGTCGTAGTAAATCTCTCATCCTACTTCTGGTCTGAGACAAATTTAATCATTTGTTTCACCTCAACAGCTCATAGTCGAAGGAAAGTCTTATCTTTTTTCGTAACAAACCAATTTCCCTTAAAACGAGCCCATTTAATTTACGCTTTCTTATAAAATTATAAAGATATTTTCCTTTTAGGTTCAATGTTTTGACTCCTAATAGCAAAAGAATAAATCCTTACTTAAATAAATACCTTTGAGGTCAAGTAAATTCTCTTACAAGGAAGAGGTCTTACATTCAATATTTTTCATACATTCTAAGGGTTAGTCACCCTTGTTCTTCAGGGGATGTGTTCTTAAATTAACTTGAGTTACGGTGGTTGACCTAGAACTCGAGTAAGTAGTTGGTGTAAGCCTGAATAACCTGTAAAAAATTTTTTTTGTTCTTTCAGCAAATCAAATCTTTTTCTTGCCAACAAGATCTTGAAAGCACAAAGAAGACTACAAAATTGAAACCTACTTTGTAGTACGATGGTGGGGGTGGAATAGACTAATGTATATATCAATATGTTTCTATTCCTGTGGGTTGCTATTTAGGGCAACTGTACCCATCAAATTCCAACAGGAACTGCTCACCTAATGTGATTAATTACCACTTACCAGTGATGCAAACAAACTTTTTTGGAAACAAGGGACACAAGGATGATAAGATTAGTTAGTGCTTGACATGAAGTAGAAATGATAAAGACACGATTGTCACTCCTATCTAGAGATGGTTGATGGATCAAATTTTGATTTGAATCAGATCTAAATTTAATAAGATTTTCAAGCAATGTCTTCGTCATCTCCGAAAGCAGGGTGGTTAGGTTTGAGTCTTCCTTGATTGAGTAGTTGGATGTAATTTAAAAGTATTTATTGAAATCATAAGAACGAGATTTATGACTCAATATCTCATCCTACTTTTAGTGTGAGATGACTTAAATCATTTTTTTCACCTCAATATCTCATGGTAGATGGAAAGTCCGTCTTTTTTTGTTACAAACTAATTTCCATTCTATGGAGCCCATTTAATTTATGTTTTTTTTTTATAAAAGTATTAGTTTTTGCTCGTAATTGAAGGTATAGAATAATAAAAAAAAACTATCAAGTATAAACATATTTATATTCATACCCAAAATTAAATTACTAACATAGCGGAGAAAAAAAAGAATTTAAGCACCGATTATAGTGAAGGTGAGTGATGATAGTGGCGATGGTGGTGGTGGACAGTGACAACTGTAGTGATGACGGTATTCTTGGGTGGCAACGTTGATGGTGGTGATGGTAATGAGTATGGATGGTGGTAGGCGATGACGATGGTGGTTGATAATGGTAGTGGTGGAGTGACGATGGTGGTAGTGGGCGACGGTGATAGTAGCTGGTGACGAATGTCGATGGTGGTGGTAGGTGTGGTGGGGGTGGGTGATAGTGGGTGGCGGCAATGGTGGACGATGACGGGTGGTGGTGGTAGATGTGCGACGACGAGTGATGGTGGGTGGTGGTAGACAACGATGGTGGTGGCGGCGGGAAATGGTGGTGGTGAGATAATATTGGTAGTGGTAATTAATATAAAAATGAGATAATGATAGTAGTGACGGTGAGCGACAATGGTAGCAATCGGTAGTGGGTGGCGATGGTAGTGGTGATGAAGGGGGGGGCAGTGGTGGTGGGGGTGGGGGTGATGGTGAGGTGGTGA